GAGTGATTCCAATGAAGTTGGTTATGAATACGATCACAACATGCCCCGGTAGAAGGTATTGTAAAGTTCAGAGCGCTGGGCATCCCCGTTTTTGCACTGTCGCGAAATAAGGTTTCACATCGACCCTCCCCTGACTGTTGTAGGATATAGAACCCCTCATATTGAAGGCTATATTTCTTAAACTAGCAGGGAAAAGCAGAAAAATCGACTACCGTTGGAAAATACAACACTAGCCCAATCTTATTATGCCGTCATAATTAGGTGCCCGAAATCACATGTTTGAAAAAAATGTAACTCAATGTATCCTTAGTATTTCCTCTAATATTTTTGAACATGCTGCAAGCTCACTTTTATAGGGTCAAGTGAGTGATCCCAATGAATTCGGTTATGAATACGATCACAACATGCCCCTGTAGAAGGTATTGTAAAGTTCAGCGCGCTGGGCATCCCCGTTTTTGCACTATCGCGAAAATAAGGCTTCGCATCGACCCTCCCCTGCCTGTTGTAGGATATAGAACCCCTCATATTGAAGGATATATTTCTTAAACTAGCAGGGAAAAGCATACAAATCGACTACGGTTGGAAAGTGTAACACTAGCCCAATCTTTTTATACCGTCAAAATTAGGTGCCCGAAGTTACATTTTTATAACGTATAATTTAATACATCTTTAATATTTCCTCTAATATTTTTGAAACCTGCTGCAAGCTTACTATATATAGGATCAAGTGAGTGATCCCAATGAATTCGGTTATGAATACGATCACAATATGCCCCTGTAGAAGGTATTGTAAAGTTCAGAGCGCTGGGCATCCCCGTTTTTGCACTGTCGCGAAAATAAGGTTTCGCATGGACCCTCCCCTGCCTGTTGTAGGATATAGAAACCCTCATATTGAAGGCTATATTTCTTAAACTAGCAGAGAAAAGCAGAAAAAATCGACTACGGTTGGAAAGTACAACACTAGCCCAATCTTACTATGCCGTCATAATTAGGTGCCCGAAATCACATGTTTGAAAGAAATGTAACTCAATGTATCCTTAGTATTTCCTCTAATATTTTTGAAAAATGCTGCAAGCTCACTTTTTATAGGATCAAGTGAGTGATCCCAATGAATTCGTTTATGAATACGATCACAACATGCCCCTGTAGAAGCTATTGTAAAGTTCAGCGCGCTGGGCAACCCCGTTTTTGCACTGTCGCGAAAATAAGGTTTCGCATCGACCCTCCCCTGCCTGTTGTAGGATATAGAACCCCTCATATTGAAGGCTATATTTCTTAAACTAGCAGGGAAAAGCAGAAGAAATCGACTACGGTTGGAAACTACAACACCAGCGCAATCTTATTATGCCGTCAGAATTAGGTGCACGAAATCACATGTTTGAAAAAAATATAATTCAATGTATCCTTAATATGTCCTCTGATATTTTTGAAACATGCTGCAAGCTTACTATATATAGGATCAAGTGAGTGATCCCAATGAATTCGGTTATGAATACGATCACAATATGCCCCTGTAGAAACTATTGTAAAGTTCAGCGCGCTGCGCATCCCCGTTTTTGCACTATCGCGAAAATAAGGCTTCGCATCGACCCTCCCCTGCCTGTTGTAGGATATAGAACCTCTCATATTGAAGGCTATATTTCTTAAACTAGCAGGGAAAAGAATACAAAATCGACTACGGTTGGAAAGTGCAACACTAGCCCAATCTTTTTATACCGTCAAAATTAGGTGCCCGAAGTTACATTTTTATAAACGTACAATTTAATACATCTTTAATATTTCCTCTAATATTTTTGAAACATGCTGCAAGCTGCAAGCTGCAAGCTTACTATATATAGGATCAAGTGAGTGATCCCAATGAATTTGGTTATGAATACGATCACAATATGCCCCTGTAGAAGCTATTGTAAAGTTCAGCGCGATGCGCATCCCCGTTTTTGCACCATCGCGAATATAAGGCTTCGCATCGACCCTCCCCTGCCTATTGTAGGATATATAAATGAAGCAATTTGCAATTTTCAGGGCTCAAACGATAGAAAATTGAATTTTCTACAAGATGGCTATCTCGGATTTTCAAAATTTTGAGTTTTAGGGGTCCAAAATGTCAAACCAAATTTTGAGAAAAATTTGATTTTTTCAAAAATTTGAATTTTTCAAAAAAATGAGACAAGTTGTCCTCGGGCATCAAAGGAGGAATCAGCATGCAAAATTTCAAGTCCGTAGCTCAATATTTGATTGCTATAGAGGGCGCAAAAAGTAACAAAATATCCAATTTTATTTTTCAAACTCAAATTTTTGGTACTTATAGGGGTCGTAGAGCAAAACAAAAGACATTTTTGGAATCCTGAGATAAAACTGCATCAGATAGCATGTTTTGAATTCAAAATTTTGAATTTTGAAAATTTCGAATTTTTAACCCCTTTTTTTCACTTTTTCACCATTTTGCGGGGGTCAAATCTCCAAATTCTTGCCACCATCGTGTTCTACGTCCAAAACTACCCCAAAAACATGTGTCACACGGTATTTAAATGTTATTTTGAAAATTCGACTTTGTGTGACCTTTGGTGACCTGACCTTGACCTTGACCTGTGCTCCAATTCGCTTTAGACACAATGAGACTTTTCTTACATCTTTTGGGCACATGCCAAGAAATTTTGAGCTCGCTGCTGTCGGTAGTTCGGTCTCTGGGGCCCAAAATGAAAACCCCTATTTTTTACCTTTGACCTGACCTTGACCTCAAGTTTGACCTGAGAACCAATTTTAAGTACTCATCAGATGCGTCTTGTTTAGAGCTTTCGTTTGCCGCCTCGCCTGTCCCGCTGCGACTAACCGTTCTCGAGTTATGGGCTGGGGACGTCTGACGGCCCCCCCCCCCCCCCAGCAAGTGGTGTTATGAAAATACCCCAGCAAATGCCGGGTTAAAACAAGTTTTAAATGCTAATCGAACACATCTTGTTGAGACCTTTCGATCGCTGCCATGCGCATCTCGCTGCGACCATTTGTTCGCAAGTTATAGGCTAAGGACGTTCACTACCCCTCTCCCAACCAGATGGTATAAAAATACCCCAGCAAATGCCAGTATAGCTCCTAAACTAGCAGCGAAAAGCAGAAAAAATCGACAACGGTTCGAAAGTACAACACTTGCCCAATCTTATTATGCCGTCAGAATTAGGTGCCAAAAATAACGTTTTTATATAAGTCTAATTGAATATAAGCTTATGTAGATGTCTGCAACATGTTGCAAACTCACTATTTAGAGTGCAATCAGATGAGTGAGCCCAATGAAATTGGTTATGAACATGATCACAATAACCGTGTGCATCATGTGCAGTCGTTTATTTTCACCAATAAGATGTTCATTCATGAGAAAAGAGCAATTCAAAATCTAGTCGAAATCGTTCAGATAGCCGCTTCATTCCCTAACCGTCAGTTAGACTGTGTTCGGAGCTGAATATTGGCCGTGACATCGGTCTCATACTTATTCACGGCACGGCATCGTATCCTATGATCAATTTCGAGTCTGTGGGTATTAATTTTTTGCACCCTGAGCACGTTTCATTTTTCGGCATTTCTAGCGCTCCTGGCGGCCGGCCGGCCTACTGTGCTTTTGGGGCAACTAACGGAGCGAGCGAGAGGGTGAGCCTTGCACGTGCGAAATTGCGAGGGGGTACCTCCAACTGAGTTGTGCACGGCACCCTACTAACCGGTCTCTAGCGATGTGCCAAATTTGAGCACAATCGGCCCAGCCGTTCTCGAGATCTGGAAGCGGCACCCTGCACGTGCGCACGTGCAGCAGCACCCCAACTCTGGCACATGGTTATGCATTGCCTAGTGGGTGCCTACCTACATGCCAACTTTCAGCGCAATCGGCCAAGTAGTTACCGAGATATTGCAACAATTACAAAAGTGACACCTCTTCGTTTTGCACGTGGCACGTGCATAATGGGTCACCCACATGCATCGGGAATAGTCCGATACTTGGTAGAAGGAATGAAGCTACCCTACAAAAATTACCGCATGTAAATCGGTCAAGTGGTTGCTGAGATATAAGCCTCGCAAAAGCGTGACCACGGCCGGCCGGCCGGCCGGCCGGCAGGCCGGCCGGCCGCTCATACTCAGAAATTTCCGTTAATCTAAGGAAAGACTACGCTCGCTTCGCTCGCTCCGTAATAACTAAACGAGGGCTAAGAAAAAAAGTCAATTTTTCAACTTTTTATTTTTGACATAAAAATGCACTTTTCTAGACGAGCTTTGTCCCAGGAATCTAGTGGTGCCATTTGTTTTCACATGCGATGTTCAGAAGTGCCTCTAATTCGCGAAAATGCTTATGACGTCACCATGCCCTATGCATGTTGGAGCTATTTTTTACAATTTGGGGGTCAAAAATCAAGATAGAATGTTGAAAATTGGGACATCTAATGTTCTAATAGAGCTCTATAACATATATTCCGGTTTTTTGGAAATTCTCAAAATTTTGGATTTTATTAGCTGTTTTCCAAAAAATACAGTTTTTTGAATTTTTAGGGGTGAAAAACGCATTTTATGGAAAATCCGAGATAGCCATTTTGAAGAACTCGTTGAGCTGCGTCTTTTCATGTCCTTAATTTGCAATTTGCTTAAAACCTCGATTTTTGGCGATTTTTTAAACATTTACCATTTTTTGACTGAAAACGCCATGTAGTTACATCACTAAAATCGATATATCTCAAAAAATTTTGCATTTTTTTTTATTAAAAATTGCACAGGAGACGTCAAATTGATGGGGGAGAAGGTATGCGAAGTTTCAAGTTGATAGCGCAAGCGGTTCATGAGTTATTCAAGAAAAACGGAGGGGGGGGGGGTCGGATCCGACCCCCCCCCCAGGCGGTCGCGGGTTAATATAACGCCAATAGCCTATGGCACAGATCTGATCAGAACTCACTGCACACACTTCTGAACTCCAATGGTGTGCTTGGTGAAAAGTAGATATCGGGTCAACTCTGCGTGTTAATCTCTAAACTTCGACCATCGCTTTTTATCCGACAGAAAAACACTCACAATGGTTCACTGGAAGCGCGACCTTGACCTCTACACCATCGGCCGGCCTCTGGAGAGGAACGCCGGCTTCTGGCTCGACTACATGAAGGGCCTGAAGGGTGAGAATCGACTGCGAAACGTCCGCCTTCTTTACTGTTGCCATGTTCTATCAATAATTAAATTTTACATATTTTGTGCCTAATACTTGCTGCTTTTGATGCGCATGTATAGCATTTCAACATTTAATGACATTTTTATCGTGGCTATTTTTGGACAGTGTTTTAATTGTGGAACAATTTTTATCTAATATGCTTCCTTGTAAATAATATTTTATGTAAATATGTGTTCAATGTCGTTTGCTATCAGCTTTGTGGAATGACGTCGAAATGTACAAGCATATTGTATATATTATTGTCATCTAATTACGTCACCAGCAACAAACTACATGCCACCATCGTCTGTAAATAGTCAGTGACGATTACCACAACATTACGATGGCTCAGAAGGGTGTTCATTAAAAAAAAAAAAATTATGCAGTACTGAGCTCAAAAGCATTCCAAATGCATTGCCGACCAACAATGTCCGAACGCATTTCGATACGCAAGAACAGCCTGAATGAGGTCCCGAAACCATTCGATTGCAAAATATAAAAGAATTGCTGAAAACAATATTCGCATTTAACCCGTTGACAGACAAGAAGCGTTGACATTTGTTTTGAGCCAGCATCTCTGGTTCCCTGCCAAACAGATCAGACTTTCCGTCGCCGGCTGAGTAGCACTTCTGTGTCACCTAGCGGCTATATCTCGGCCGACAGCTGGGCGATGGCGCTGACAGCTCTTTGGCAGTTACCTTCTCTCCTGTTTGTCGCTCTTCTGACCCGACTGACTCAAATTCAACCAAAGCCAACGGATACAGGCGAACAACATCTCGTCGATTAGTAGTTACGCCATCAGCCGCCGCACGACGCTGGCGCTAGCGTCGTTGGCGGCCCTTTGGCTGGCAGCCGGCCCTAAAACGGCTCGGAATGCGGTGTCCCGGGTCGACGGGGAGTCCCGTCGCCAAGTGCCGCTCACCAGCTGGCCACCCTCGGCGACAGGTGTTTAGACGTACTAGACTGGGTCTGAGGACACCTGCCTACGTGAGTCAGTCTCTCGAGGCTGAGGCCAGTCGTCAAGTCGCTTCTCACTGAGAACCGAGAAACGCCTCCTCTAACATGTTAGAGAAGTGAGAAGCGCCTCCTCTCAGGGACTAAATTTAGCTAGTTGACATGCAGCTGTTCCGTTTTTTTTTTTTTTTATCAGCGCTCACAGACTGACCTCAACCGTGCCGCTACTCGATTCCTATTTCATTTCATGAGCATATCATTTCGATTGCCGTATAGCTAGCTCCTTTTGGCAGTCAGCACTTTAAAACTAGGCATTTCGACTATTTTTTATGTAATTTTGCAGCCCTCAGTCGATTTCTGAGATGTTACCCAAGCTCATTTCTGTATTCTTGCCCCTTGGTGTGAGCACTGTCCGACGTCCGTGAACTCCTTGAGAAACATTCTCGGTTATGCGTCGTGAGTGACCTACACATGAACAGTCACGACGATTATAGATCACACTTCTGATTGCCTTTGGGCTAGGTATAGCAGCGTCGGGTAATCAAACCTATATAATGTTCACACTTCACGAACACGTTTCGGAGATAAGCCACACAAATTTACCATAAATAATGAATGCGCAAACACGCTCTTTTCACCGATCATGACGTACACATTCACAAAAAAAAACTGTGTACAGCGCACAGAGCTAAGTGCACATTGCACAACGCGTACCTGTCCGATTTCTAAGCCTCCCGATATGTGCTGGCGTGCAGTGGAGGAACGGGCGTGTCGCGGCACCACGCCGCCCGTGCCCAGCGACGCCATCAAGGTAGACAAACGCTACAGCTCAGAAGTATTCACCAGCAAGCGGGACGTCGAGGTCCGCCAGACCCTGGTGGCGGTCAAGGAGACGCGACCCGTCTACCAGCTGAAGATGGCGCCCGCCGTGCCGCAGTATACCAATTAACGAGCCGCTAGTCACGCCGTAAGGAGGCACAGAGATGGGAAGGGAGAGCTTTCCCACCTGTAGCCGCTCTTTGAACTCACTAGTAGCGGGTAGCCGTTTTGATAGGATGGCTTAGCGTAGTGAGATAGCTGAAATGATGAGATGACACACAGGTTGGGAAGGGACGAGCTTAGTTAGATGAGGCTACAAGCTGACGAAGACTTAGCACGGTCGTGTTGCGTGATAGAGCGAGGCGAAGGCTTATATGGTTGTGATTGTAATGCATCAGGTCCGAGAAACAGTAGCCTAAGTCCTAGAAAATGCTTAAAAGCTACAAATGCATGTAGATTCGGCCATTCCAGTTAGCCAATCGCGAAAATTTCACGCAAATAGTTTGGTGATCTAGTGAGTTATTTTATAGAGAAGCACGACCCACGAGAAGCTTGCAGTAAAGGCCTTTTACAGGCGCTGCTCATGTCGGCGTGGCATGTTTAGAACATCGCAATTCGCAAACTTAGCAGAAACCTATTAGGACGTTGAACCTTTATTGGAACATTTGATTGAAGCCACCCCATAGGAAATTAGCTATGAACTATGAACACAAAACCCCCGGGTACGATTGACTCCTGTACCGAACTTAAGAGAAACATTTGCGCAAGTTCCTGCTCGTTGGTAGTTAGTTCATAGTTGCTAGTGTTTTTACTAACATTGCATTCACAGTTTGCATGACTGTGGCCATGACTGTGCCCACTTGCCCAAAGTATTTTGCTGTTCTCTTGGGAAATCTGATAATAAGGTTCTTGCTTTCTCATTCAGGCCCCTTGTGGAAATGTATGATACCTACTGTTGTTTTCAAGGGTTAAACTGATGCTTAATACGTTTCAATACTTCATATGCAATTCTGCTACTAGCATGTATGAATCTTCTGTGTATATTATAAGTGAAGAGTGAGCTCAGCACGGTTTACAAATGTGCTACGTTAAAATCGCCCATTACGTGATAATAGTTACCACTAACAGGAGCTTTTTCACTCCTGTTCACTGACCGATGCTTCACGAGGACTCGCCTCTGCCGTGTAACATTTTACCGCCGTGTGTCATGCTGTGTGATTTTCGCCTAACGCCGTTCCGTGCGCCACTGCAGGAGAGCACGACGCCCTGGGCCCGCGCCGCATCCCGGCTGCGCCGCTGCTGGCTCCTCGGCCGCGCGCGCGCAGCGTGCCGCACTTTGCCGAGCCGCCGTCGGCGTTCGACCGCGAGCCCTACAGGGACCCGTTCAGCGACCCCTTCTTCTCGGACCCGGTCGACTTCGGTCTGCCCCACAGCCCCGCCTACGACGACCTGCGCGGCATCATCGACCGCGCCCGCAGGCGGTTCCGTGACCGCCGCATGGACGCCGAGAGGCGCGCGCTGGAGTTTTAGGCGCGACAGGAGGAGGAGAGGGCGAGAAAGAGGGCGAGGGGCGCGCTGGCGACGCGCGACCGGAGAGCGATCCCGTGCCGAGCATGGAAGCGGCGGGGGCTCGGTTTGAAGTGCTCGCGACGCGCCGAATACGGTTCATTCATCGTTCATTGACGACAATCGACAGATCATTTCACACGAGTGAGGGGAGACTGGCCGCGCGGGTCGGGTCAGGCCTGACCCGCGCGGCCGGGAGGGGCGACGAAACGATCGGGAGGGGGCGGGACGCACGGAGAGGACGGCGGGGCTCCTAGAAGGATCGTGAGATGAGCGACTGGTCAGCGGCTGATCTGAGCTGAGTACAGTAGGTCTACAAAATAAGTCCTCTCCGTATCCGGGCAGGTGGCGCCCGAGTAGCGCTCAGGCGCTAACTGCCCGCTGGTGACCCGCATTCGGAGAGGACTTATTTTGTAGACCTACTGTACGAGATCCCCCTGCTCTCTTCACGTCTGTTCCTACAGGTCGGGCACATGAGCCCGTCGACTGTGGACCGCGCGAGTCTGACGGGGAGCCGCCCGCGAGCGCTGCGGGGTGGCCGGGGCTGCGGAGAAGCAGTGTCCTGTTGTGATCGCTGTGAAATAAAGCCGACACTGTGGGCAAAACGAATGTTTGGCTTGGATTTGTGGCATGAGACGATCCTTCGACCCGGTGGAAATCATGAAATGATCCCGAGACATCTGAGGGATATGTAAAAAAGAGGACAGAGCCTGTCAAAAATATTTGTAAAATATACTTATGTTTCAATAAGATACTACAACACAGCGGCCTTTTTTATCAGGTAGGTAGTTTTCAGCGCTAAAACTTGAAAATGTTTTCTTTTTTTCGAAAACAAACAAGTTAACAAACGGTGGAATTTTTGATCAATCTTCTCAAATTAAACCAGAGCTTTCCGATCGGACAATGGAGGCCAAGAGCTGAGAGCTACGCTCTGACTAGCTTTTTGTGAATCAGCCATTGCGAAATATTGTGCAGCACTCCCACGACCCATTTGTTTTATGTTAGTGCTTGGACCTCTGTATACAGAGATCTATGGTTAGTGGCGCTAGCTTTTTGTATGTGAATCATTGAAAGAGCTCGGATGAGTACTTTGACTTATAAAATTTCGAATTAGTGTTCCATATAATTTTCAGCAGCTCTAGGAATGATGCGAAACGACATAATGAAATTGTATGGTTGCGTGAGAAGATGATCGATACCTATTTGGCAAATCAAGCCCGGTTGGCGGTTACCAAGCTGCTGCCAACGGCAAATAATCCACCTAAGGTAATGGAGTCGGACTGAATCGACGCGAGCGATACAGACACAGGTTCGCAGATAAGTCCGCGAGCACAGGTGAGCAGATGCATACCCTAGTACATCACTGGAACGCCGTATGTCGTCCAATACACAAATAACACGAAGAGTTCATGTGACACCTACATGTGGTGTATGTACATGTAGTGTATTTACAATACATGGACATTCTGCAGTTGTATTGTGCATGACATCTCAACAACATAAATATGTCACATAGTAGATGCATAAGGTATCGTGCATATCATAAGGTATGTGTTACAACATACCTATACGCACTGTCTAACCTTTCTGGGTCTGTGTGCAGTATGCACGTTCTGCAATGATCCGCTGAACTAACCAATTTGCGGTCATTCACCGTGTTCTCACTGTCGCCGTACCTGCGTCGGTCTACAAATTCAATCAATAACATTGATAGATTATAGAAATGAATGCATTTTCGTTTGCGTATTGCAAATTGTTTGTCCAATCAATATATCATGCAAACAACTTTTAGAGCTAGTCACCGCGCTCGTCCCTCACAGTTCTTCGTTTCGTTCCGTCTGCACAGGAAAGTTGCGACATCCGTACAGCTAGCAACTGTATGTACCCTTTTCGGACCCTGCCTTGCTGTTCCGTCTGTTCTTCACTGCACAGGAAAGCCGCTATATATCCGTACAGCTAGCAACTGTACCCGTCTCTGACCCTGCCTGCATTGTTTCGTCTGCACAGGAGAGCCGGGACAGCCGTACAGCTACCCACTGTACCCGACATACCCGCGCCGCTCACGGCCATTTGTACCGCGGTACCCCACCGAGCCGTCCAACTGGGACCCAGCGCTGGACGATCCGTACTTCTGGGATCCGATCGACGGCGTCGGCCTGCCGCACAGTCCCGAGTACGATAAACTGCGGCACACCATCGCCGCAGCGCGCAACCGTGTGCGCGACCGCCGCCTGCGGCCCTACTGCTGAACGGAAACCATACGGCGTTCCGTCGCGACGGGGAGAAGGGATGGAAGGGGACGGGGGTGCAGGGATCGGTCTTTGGTGATGATCTATCGACTCGACAGAGAGGCGATATGCAGCGTCACAGGCGGGTTATTTGTTGTACTTGAAGATAAGACTCTTTAGTCTTTAATAGCCTTCTCTATAGTGCGGTGATGTTTTTTTTATGTTTACGTCTGATGGGTGTCTTGTCCAATGTCCTTGCAATGCTGCACGTACTGAATAAATTTTGTTTAAAAGCGTTTCCAGAAAAAAAAAAACATTTTTAGTCATCGTACGTCTAGCAACAGCCCTAAAATTGTTGTATAGAGCAAAGTGCATTCAATATATTACATTTTCTTCTAGCGCTACATGTCACCGTCTTGCGACCATATTTTATTGAAAGGTGCTACAACAGGACACGCAAACAAATCTGCTTATTATCGGGTATGCATACGTGACGTCTAACTAGGGCTGCGGAGTCGGAGTCAGAGTGGGAGTAGGTGTTGGAGTCGGTCAGAGTTGACAGGTCTGCCCAGAATCGGTGTTAGTTTTCTAAGTCGGATTCGGAGTCGTCGAAAATCCATCGACTCCGCAGCCCTGGATCTCAGCAGGGGCACTCATGACTGTTCAGACCCGGTGATTTCCCCGCGTTTCCTCTTCTGTTCTTTGACGTTTGAGGAAACTTGGGCATGTTTAAGATGACTAAAAAAAAGATGAAGCTCAAGTGTGAATACATATAGACGAGTGGAGTGACAACGTCCAGTATCCAATCAGGGATAGAAGTCACCACCGGACCTCTAGCTGATCCTGAACTGGACGAAGATGACGATGTAGGTGACGATGGTGGACATGATGGCCACCATGGTGGAGCGCTGCAGCCGGTAGTAGCCCAGGTCGCCCAGGTGGTCCAGGTCGCGGTGCACGGCCTCCTGCAGAGCGCTGACCTCGCGACCGACCCGGGTCGACTCCCAGCGCAGCTTCAGCAGCGAACAGCGCGTGGCGGCGGCCAGGTCCAGCACGTACTGACCGGCCTCACACGGCACGGCGATCTGGAGGCCAGCAGCCAGCAGCGAGTACAGCATCGAGTGATAGTTGGACATCCACTCTCCGGTCAAGGTCGTCTGAAATCCCAGCAGGAATGTGATCACCAGGCTGATGACGCCCGTGGTCATGGAGAGGATCAGCTCGGGCGTCATGTCGGTCACCAGGCGGGAGAAGGCGCCACTCAGTCGATCGTGAAGCAGGCGAAGCCGCGCTAGCCGGTTCCAGTCCTTGATGTCACCGTTTCTGGCCAGAGACTGAAGCTCGGTGTCCACTGCACCGAACCCAACACCGACAACCAGTGTGATGTACAGAAATTTGATCAGTATCGAGAACGTGGAAACTGCCATGATACTAGAAGTTGTAAACAGGAATATTCCAATCAGACACTGTGATGATAAATTCGCACATGCCTGGCCAAAGCCAACCATTATCATAAAAAATATCAGCACGCATCCAATCGCAACGATAACAACCGCCACTCCCAGCAGGAGAGCAGCCTTTTTGCGTAGCTTCCCTCGAATGGACTGTCTCGGTATCTCCCGGGCCAGATCTTCAGCCAGCTGCTGCACCTCTGGGAGAAGCGCAGCGTACCGCCGCCGCCCGCGGATAACCGTCGCCGTAATTGGCAGCATCGGCAGTGCCTGCACGCAACCGAAGAAGTAAGAAGCGAACGCCGCTTCCAGAATTCCGCTGCCGTTCCGCATGTCGTTGACGCCGAGCTCCATGAAGTAGGTGACGGACATCACGCTAACGGTCGCCACCGTGACGTAGAGGAGTACGGCGTACAGACGGGCCAGCCACCCGGGACCGCCCATCTGACTGACCCGTCACTCGCAGCAGAACGACCAAAGCCCGATCAGCGACGGACGGCCAGACGGTCGGCGGTGCGATCTCGGTCGAGCCGCTCTCATCATCGGGCGAAGTGCGGCTGCGGTCGGGTGAGACATCCGCAGGCTCGGTCGAGACGAACATGACCTCCACGTGGCCAACGGGCTGTACTACGGTCGGCATCTCGTGAAAGATAGTCGGACGCATGTATAGATCACTGTGACGACGAAGCCTCCTTTGCCCTCGTCTTATTTGTTGATAGGCTCACAATGATATCTGAAATACAGGCTGAGAGAGAGAGAGAGAGAGAGAGAGAGAGAGAGAGAGAGAGAGAGAGAGAGAGAGAGAGAGAGAGAGAGAGAGAGAGAGAGAGAGAGAGAGAGAGAGAGAGAGAGAGAGAGAGAGAGAGAGAGAGAGAGATACGGTGTATTTAGTTCATGGCTGCGAGCATTTGCCCATATAGCGCATGTGATAACAGTACAGCAGTTTTGAGGCACTGCAAATAAACAAATGCAACTACATTGGCGCAATTACGATAACAGTAGCGTACAGGCCATATTCTATCTGGACGACATGATATCCAGGTTAATGAGCGAGGTCATATGTGGAATGCATGACCTCCTCAGGCGAGTACCACAGCAAAACGTTTCAAGAGTGTTAGAACTTCTCGTTTCTCTGCCGGATATCGAGCCTCTCGATTTCGGGAATAAGTCTTGATGTGCTATCGACTTGAGCATCTGTTTACCGAGTCTTAAACATAAAGTCTGTCTTCTATTAGCGAGTGTTTCCAGGTTGAGGCGTTGTAAGATGTTCTGGTAGCTTTCATCGTATCCGGCGATTATTTTGACGGCCCGTTTTTGTACCTTTTCTATTTTCTGAGCCTGTTGAACAGTTAGTCCGGCGTGGAATACAGGGGCGCAGTACTCGAGCAGTGGCCTTATGTATGTGGTATATACCTTAACCAACTGCTCTTGTGGCGGCCGAAACCTCTTCATTACATGCAGCATGTAGAGGGCTCGGGATCCCTTGGACACAATGTCATCAACATGTTTCTGCCAGGACATGTCACCGGATATCGTGATCCCAAGTAATCTTGCGTGGTCAGTTGTTGGTATACTGCTGCCATTAAGGTCTATATCCGGTAAGATAATAGGCTTTTTGGCTGTGTAGAAGTGAAGAATCTGACATTTTTCTGTATTCAGCACCATCTTGTTCGTGTTGGCCCATTCCGACAATTTATCCGTTACTTGCTGTAGGGTGCATTCTTCATTAAATTGATTCACAGAGCATGCTTGGAAGACTGTTAAATCATCTACATATTTAAGCCTCCTTTCGTCTTGGACGGCGGCATCGTTTATCATAGCCAGGAAGGCTACTGGTCCCACTAGGGTCCCTTGTGGCGCCCCACAGGTTATGGGGCTCCACGTGCTAATGCTGCCATCCGGCATCTTCACTCGTTGGTGTCGGTCCTGAAGGAAGGAGCAGAGCCAATGTGCGTAGGCAGATCGGAGTCCCATGTTCAGGAGCTTCTGTATGACTGTAGTGTGATCTATTAGATCAAAACCTTTTCTGAAATCATACATAATCATGGAAAATATTTTGTCCGACTTGTCCAGCTGCGTGAATAGGTTGTGCAGTAGTCTGACCAGGTAATGGGCAGTCGATGCTCCCTTTACGTTGCCGTACTGACGGATGTCGATCTTTGGACTTATGTCGTGGAGAATGAGCGGTACCATAAATCTTTCAAAAACCTTCATAAATGTGGGTGTGAGGCTGATGGGACGCAAATCTCCTGGCGAGCGCGGCTTGTCTTTCTTGGGTACCGGTGTGATTGTAGCCCGTTTCCAAACCGAGGGCACCTGGGAGCTTTTTAACGAGCAGTTGAATATATACGCTAATGGAGTTGCTAATTCTATTGAGAATTCCTTAATCAAACTTGCAGGTAATTGACCAGTGGAGACAGCCATATTTTCTCTGATCCGTGAAAGATGCAGTGCCACTTGCCATGGCTGGATATCGAAAGGAATGTCATTCGCCGGTAAGTAACACGGGAGTTTGTCCACTTGCAGTCCCTCATAGGTCGTACAGACTTGGGCAAAGTGTCTATTTATTAGCTCAGCTGCGGAATCACAAGTTGCTTCATCTGTGGTTTTGAAGTCCCATGACTTCGGCTGCCGATTAGTTAATTTGGACACTTCTCTGTACCATGATGCCTTTTTGCCCGATGAGACTTGACCCATCCGCTTTCTGTACCATTGGGTCTTCGCAGAACAAATCTCAGATCGTACTTTCTCACGTAGCTGTTTGAGGCGATTGGTTTGCTGGCGGCTGTGTGCCCTGTTACGTAGGATCAATAGTTCTTTAATCCTCTTCGTCATCCACGGAGGATCATTTCTTCTGCATTTATACGTAATCTGCGGGAAGAATGTTTCGTAGGCAATTTTCAGTTTATTTTCAAGCACCTCGGCTGCTTGATCTACATCAGTAAAGCTGGTAATGTCATTCCAGTCTTGTTCACATATCCATTGGCCAAACTGTCTGATGTTCGAGGCTCTCATCGGTCTTGCGGTGCGATATTGGTGAAATTTCTTGTTTTGTGCGCTACCGATCCAGACAACCGTTTCATGGTCCGATGTACCAATGGCTGGAATAATGGTAGGCGTGCTCTCTGCTTCACAATCAGTTAAAATCATGTCAAGAATTGACGCACCTCTGGTAGGTTCCGTAACGATTTGCTTTAGGTTCAATTGCTGTGCTAGTGAATGGACATCGAACACACTATTGAAATCTCCCAAAAGTACAGTTTTTGCTTTGGGCCTGCGTGATCGCAAATGATCAATCTTTTCAATGACATGATCTGTTATGGCAAGACGTCTTGGTGCACTTGTGTCAGGCGGAATGTAGAGACCAGCTACGATAATGCTTTCTGCCTGTGACGGTCTCAAAACGCACCAGCATATCTCCAGTTCCTCAGGCACTTCAAAATTGGGCACGGTGTAACGGACGCCTTCTCTCAAGTACAATACTATACCGCCACCTTTACTCCTATTCACAGCTCGTAGGTTTCTATCTTTGCGTATTAACTGATATCCTTCTTGAAATATTTGGCAATCAGATACCTTTACATCCAGGTGAGTTTCTGTGATTAAGCACACATCAATATTGTATGTGTTCAATAAAATTGAAAGTTCTGATTGTTTTGTGTTCGCACAAAGACCGTTAGCATTGGTTGTTAGAAAATTCGGCCAACTTCTAGAGAGAGATTGAACGGAGTTGTTCTTCGATAGATCGCCGTCAGAACAAAATAACTCATTCAATCTAAAAAAACCTGGCACCTGTCCGAGGATATGTTGCGCTGCGTTGCGTGCCCCTTCGAAGGTGTACAGAATACCTGTTCTGTTGATCCCCGCATGTTTCGTTTCTTCAAGTCGGGGTCTGAGATCAATGAACGTAGATCCTGTTGAGGTGCAGAATTGAGCCAGTTGAGAGTTCACTTTATTAATGATCTGGTAGACGACAGGTCCAGCATCTCTCCTTTCTTCCAAAGAGCAAACCGAGACAGTTTCCACGTTACCAATTTGGGTTGCATATTCCACCAAGTCCGTCAATTTCTTCAGAATGCCATCTGCGTCATGTATTAGGGCGTCATCGGCACCTAGGTGAATAACTACTTCGATGTTTTCGGCTTTTGATCTACCCGTTATATTACTTAACGAGTATTTGAAGTTATCCGAAGTGGTGTTGACGAATGACACATTTCGATCGAAGTGAAATTCATCCATGGCTGCGGCTTTAATTCTGGTCACATTTTGTCCACCAATGAGAATGCCCCCATATTTCCTCCATTTGTTTTGCTTCCTTTTGCGAGTTACCCTTGTCCAGCCCTCTTCTTCATATCTTTCCGAATGGATATCTTTGGCTTCTTTTTCTTGTATTTCTCCAACTGTTTGCTGCTGTCCTTTCACCTTGTCTTGCAGGGTACCGGTTACCTCTTTGCCCGTCTCATTTTGTGTCACATTATTTTTCCTCTGTTGTGTTTGCAGTGCTGGTATGTACCCGATTTTAGTTACTTCCGATGTGGCTTGGTCTTGTACTTGACATCCATTTCTTTGCATTTTCCAATCTGTTTCATTATCATTTTTCCATGCCTCAAGATTCTTGATTCTTGTGGCATACCTGCCCAGTTCGTCATCTACAGCCCGGAGCGCGTCATGTAGATCAGAGGCGAGTGCTTCTCCAAATTCAGTTGCTTTCTTTTGCAGAGCAACTTCTACAGCTTCGGCTACCATCAGCTTTAATTCATTTCGTGTGAGGCAGATGACTTCTTCGCTTTGGGTCGATACATTGACTGTTCTCTTCGGTCCGGGATTAGGCTCCACCCCTCCTATAATAAGGAGAGTTAGAACCAGTGCGAGGCCCAAGGCCAGTTCATCGTTCGAGGAACTTTGGGCCTTCTCTTGGGGTGAACGTTTGCATCGCATGCTGAATAAACCGATCCGAACTCGGTAGCTTTGTGGGTCAATCATTTTGTAGATGCTTGGGTAAAAGGACCTCACGTGAAACCCAACGAAAATTCAAGCGCACTTTCAGAAATCTTGAGGTTGGCTCGATTCTTAAAAATTGCGAAAAGTTACATTTTTACATGATTTTATGGATGAAATTACGTTCAGGTAACAAATTATTTCCGTAACCTTTTAATACCAACTTATTCCTCGCACCTTTAAGAATGTATCCATGCAAATCTTACAATGTAAATCGTTAGCACAACGCAGAATCAATTAAAAACATCGGAGCACTCAAAACTACATCCGATGATTTTAAGAACCGATGCTGGCCAGATTCAAACGAAATTCAATGACGAACTGGACAATATAAGCCCATTTTACGACAGCCAACAATGAATACATGTCTCATTGTGAATTTGAAAGCACAGGAGCAGTGCAATCGACATTGTACATATAAGAAAGATGGAAGAACTAGCACATAGTAATCAGGTAAGTACCAGGCGGATGAAACGGATCCATTTCCGTCGTAAAAAGGGACGTGACGCACAGGACATGGGCTAAAATCACACTCTTCATAGAGTTCCTTTAAAAATGTCTTTCGGATGTTTTTGATAACAGGGGCAGATATTGTTTTTATTTGTAGTTATCAGAACAATCTTACAACCAACCAACAATATCACAAAACGTGTCAAATCATATCAAATGAAATCACTTGATATCACAGCGGACGCTGCGAGTGCCAAAACCGGTCACTGTGAGCCAGGGACCCCAGTTTGGCTAGCTCAACTCAAATCTAATGTTAAGATGGTCACTTTAAACACCAACTTCAAATTTTGATCTCTCTTGACCTGACCTTAACCTGACCTCAACCTTAGCGTAAGGTAAGGTAACACAAGTGGTGCTGGAGAGTGCACAATAGCCGAGGATCACCGCATACCTTTACGCTTATCCTTATCGGCATGGCCGAGTCCCGACCGCCAACGCTACGCCCCCAGAAACGTCTGACTTACCATTGCCGTCTGACGCCTCCGTTCGACGTGACATGCCCGGGAACCATGAGCAGCTCAGCAAAACAGCACTTCATATGTTTACCAATGCATCAACGCCCTAGCCATCCGACAGCCCGTACCGATGTTGCGACAATGACATACCGTCTAAAGTTCTTGCACAATACACACGACTGTTTGGTGAGGCGCTAGCCTGGCAGCGTTCTGTCCCTTGTCGTGTGTGCTCAGGTGAACATGTTGACAGACCGTAGCCCTTGCAGCTGCCATAAATTCCAAGCTATTTGTCTTCTGCCTTTTTATTACGTGCAGAGGGTCTTTTGCATTCAGCTCGTACTCTGATGATGAGGGTCAATATTAGCCGTTGACTTTTACTTGACTGTGAAAGCGTGAACACAGGAGAGCTAGGTTTATGAACTCTTGAAGAAATAGTATGCAGTGCTCTAGCGAGGAACATCTTGATATATGTAGTTTGGGTTTTTGAATGACCTTTTCCTCGATAATTAATTGAAAACGCAATAAAAAGCAAATATTATATTGTTTGGCAAATTTTCGAACAATAGTTCATTCTCAAACCACATTAACCCGCGCACCGACGGGGGGGGCGGATATCCGCCCCCCCCTGAGGTTTTTTCGCGAATAGCGGGAAAACCGCGGCGCGTAGCGCCGCGAAATTTGGTATGACTATAACCTCATCAATTTTACACATGGTGTGCAAGTTTGAACTTCCTACCTTTTAAGGTCAGGTCCAAGTCACTTTGAATGACCCAACCTCAAGTCACTCTTTTGCACCTTGGTCACCGTGCCACAGCTACAGTAGATGTCGGAGGCCTTTGAAAGTCGCAGGATATTATTAGGTCATTAGTAGCTACAATTTGTATATCTCGGAATTTTGATATCGGTGACCTAAGGTCAGGTCAATTTCGCGACCTCCCCATTGTAAGTCAATGGGGGAAAAATCAACTCCCTGTTTTTACCACTAAAACGGGTCGGAATGGCCCCAAATACTTTACATGACTTCATATACGATCAACCTTCACTACCTTGAGGTCTGTTTTGCTGTTGGGCAGCTGTGAGGTCATGTGACGTCATCAAAGGTCACCAAAGGTTTTTGGCCAATAACTCCGTACAGGAACAAGATACAGACGCGTGGATGGTCTCATTGTGTTCAGCTCGTCAAGACGCATCAAATGATATACATGATGACCTCGAGGTCACGTGACCTGAGGTCAACCTTTGACCTTGACCTTTCGAGGTCAACATATATATCATTCGATGCGGATTGACGAGAGGATCACGATGATGCCCTTAGTTTGTTCCTATCTTGACTAATTCGAAAGTTATTCGAGAAAAACTCTCTCCATATCTAGCGCCGCCATTTTGACTTTTTCGACCCCTGTGACGTCATCTTTGACCTGACCTGAAAATGACCTTTGTAAAAATTGTAGATCTTGGCCGTGCGTATCCGATGCTGTTTACCGCTTGTCGCTATCTTGCTTCGTTCTCGAGATCTCAGGGGGGGGGGGGCGCCGGGCGGTCATCCGCCCCCCCCCCCCCGTCGGTGCGAAGTTGGCGCAGACCCCCGTCGGTGCGCGGGTTAAACAATTGACCACGGTATATTAGAGAACTCAATTGACAACCAAGGCCGTATAAGTTTTGACAACGAAGTTTTATAACTGCCGCCAAGCTACATTTTTTGAATTCTCACACGTGATATACAAGGTGGTCTTCTTAACTCTCGCATGTGTGCGGCGTTTGCCAGCTTCTAATGTGTATAGGAGGGGGGTTGGTTGGACCCCCCTTGCCGTTTGGCCCTGATTGAGCTAGAGCTTTGCGGAAAAAAGAGCGTGTTGCCCGTGACGAGAGGAAGCCGATGATACCCAATTTTAACCCGCGCCCCAGTGGCGGTCTCAGCCAACTTCGCCCTAGTGGGGGGGGGGGGGGGGCATATGTTACCACCCACTTCTAACTCAAAAACTAAGAGGGCTAGAGAGACGCGGTAAAAAGCAGTCGATAGCTCTCAATGCGTACGTTTGAAAGTATTTCGATCATTTTTCACCTTAGAGCAATATTGGGGTCACCAGAGGTCATCAAAGGTCAAAATTTGCCAATTGTCATTATATTTTTCAGAAAACATGCCGCTATCTCAGGAACTATGGTAGCTAGAAAAACGCATGGAAAAGCAAGCGATAGCTTTTGAGCTCTTCTTTTGAAAAGGTCATTATCAATATTGACCTCAGGTCAACGGTTTAGCCTCCAGAGGGAAAAAAACTCCAAAAATAGTTGTTTTTACTAAAAGTGTTTTTCGACAATAACTTTCGACTACAAAAAGCCACGACATTTCTATTGCCAGAATCGTGTTCCCCTCGCCGAGACGCGTCGAATGAACTATAATTTGACCTTGAAAGGTCAACTTGAAAATTTGACCTCAGGTCAAGGTCATGACCTGACCGGAAAAGGTCATGTTGCATATCAGTCGATGCGTCTCAACAAGACAAACACAATGAGACCATTCCCAGCGTTCTATCTCTTTCCAATCGCGAGTTATTGGCAAAAAAAAAACTGTTTGTAGCCTCAACTGACCTCGGATGACCTTTCTAGAGGCTATCAGCAAAAAATGACACCTTGGTCATCACGAGTGGACTAAATCATTGTGATTCTGAAATATTTGGACTGTTCCTATGCGTACACACGGATCTAGAGGCATTTTCATTTTTCTCCATTGACTTGTAATGGAAAGGTCACGCCACTGACCTGACCTTAGGTCACGGATATAAAAAATCCGAGATATACAAATTGTAGGCGCCCATAACAGCATGCAATCCACTAAGTTCAAAACCTTTCTGACAAACACTGCAGGCTGGACATGATTGCAAACTTTTTTAGGCTTGGTCAGTTAACGTGACCTGGTGACCTGACCTGACATGACCTGGGGTCAAAAATTTCACACCTTGTCCAAAATTGATGTACCAAAAGCTACTCCAAGCGGCGCGACGCTACGCGCCGCGGTTTTTTATTCACACGCAAAAACGCGACAGGGTGGTAACATATGCCCCCACTGGGGCGAAGGTTAAGGTCCTAGGTCATTGGTTGACCTTCCAGGTCAGGTCAATGACCCAAAGTCGGGAAAATCGGGACGTCTTAGAAAGTCGTAAAGTGTGGCTGCTAAGGGTTTTTTCGGGGTACTGATCACGAATATCGTGTTAGTTCTGATCACAGATGATTTCGTTCAGCGTTTAGACCAGGTCGGGTCAGGTCTTTTCGTTTCGTTTCGTTTATTTAGGGCTTGTCCACAAGTGGCTATTACGGCCCAGTCAATACATCATAGGTACACACACCCACACACACATATATACATACATACAATCAGCGGTGTAACTTTCTATATGTATGGGGGTGCAGGTGCATCCCCATCATCTGAAAGTGCACCCCCATCACGTCAAAGTGCACCCCCATAGGATAAGCGGCGCCTCACACGCCGCCCGACACCGATAAGCTCTTTAGCAGATGGCGAGGGTGATTTCCCGGCTGCATTCCGTCTCGTGAACGGCGTCGTGCGGCTTTCGGGCTTGGGAAGCGTCCAGTCGTATCGTTCCCCAAAAATGGGTGAATGGGGGCACCCCGGCAAAACGGGACTTTTTCAGCCAAAGTGGAGCGCCCGAGGCAGAAGTGGGGCACGTCCAACGTAGGTTGGGATCGTCAAGCATAAGACTGGCGCCCTAGCAGAGGAGAGCCCCCCCCCCCCAGTAGGAATGAGGCACCTCAAGCAGAACTTGGGTTCGCCCAGTAGAAGAGCGCCCTCAGTAGAACACGGGCGACCCCAGCAGAAAGGGGCGCCTCACCAGAGGAAGGGCGCCCAAGCAGAAGAAGGGCACCCCAGCAGAAAGGGGGCGCCCCACCAGAAGACAGATGCCTCGGCAGCAGAAAAGGAGCGTCCTCAGCACAAGAAGGGCTCCCCAAGAAAGGGGGCGCCCCACCAGAAGAGGGATGCTTAAAGAAGAAGAGAGGCACTCCAATATAAATGGGGCACCTGAAGCAAAAGTTGGGCTTGTCCAGCAGTAGTGGGGCGCCCCCAGCAGATGAGTGCCCTCAGCATAGGGCGGCCCCAGCAGAAAGGGCGCCCTACCAGGAGAGGGATGCCTAAAGAAGAGAGGCGCCCCAATACAAAAGGGGCACCTGGAGCAAAAGTTGGGTCGTCCAGTAGCAGTGGGGCGGGGGGCGCCCCAGCAGAGATGGAGCGCCCCCAGCGGCCCCGGCGGAAGTGGGGCATCCCCAGCAGAACAAGGGCTCCCCAGCAAAAGAGCAATGCCCCCAACAGACATAGCCCAGCACCTTCAGCAGAAGTTGAGCTCGCCGAGCAGAAGAGGGGCGCTGCCACCAGAAGATGGGCGCCTCCAGCAGAAGAGGGACAGCCCCGCAAAAGAGGGGCGCCGCCCGCAGAAGGGAGCGCATCCGATAAAAAATAGGTCACTTCAAACGTCAGTT